AGCAAGCGGGTCTGGCCTAGGGAGAATTTTAAATAGGGACAATTTTAATTAGAATTTTAATGGTAACACAGCGGTTAAATATTTGTTTTTAATTGGTTTTTATTGGGGATAGTGTTTGTATTGTTTTAATATGCTGTAAGCCGCCCTGAGTCCTGTTGGGAGAAGGGCGGCATATAAGTTTAATAAAATGAAATGAAAATGAATGAAATGAAAAAGACTTTAAATGCTATCAGGGACATCTTGTGGTGAAGCTTGGTACAGCAAGTGAATATTCTTGACAAAGAGACTTATTCATAGCCCAGATCTGTCCTTGGTATTATCTAAAAGAGATTAAAAAGCTTAGAGAGCAGCTGGGCAGTGAAACTGGTTTTCAAGAACTGTGGAGGTGAACAGTTACTGACTTTTCTTTAACAAATAGCCTCCACTAGAAGATCACTTACAACCATGTCAGAAATGGAGGAGGAACAGCAAAAAATTTCGGCTATGTATAAACTTATACTTGAAAAAATTCTTGAAGCCACTGAGATAATTAAATCTAGAATGAAAGACAAAGGTGCCAGCTTAAATTTACAAAACAAAACCCTGATTGCAACTGAAGAACCTACAATCCAAAAAAACAACAGAAGCGGAAGAAATTAATACCAAGACGGAGGACTTTAAAAATCAACAAGTACAGCTTACTGAAAATTTAGACAATCAAATAACAACTATAAAACTGGACATGACCTTCTACACAAATCAGAAGAAACCTGAGGAAGAAGAAGACCAGATCAAATTGAAGACAATTATATTAGAGCAAGCATGGGGAGATGGGCCACCAGGGCGACAACTTAATGATTATAAATGGGTCAATCTTTCTAGAAAACTGACAACTAGATGGTCCCCTTTGATTCAAGTAATATGTGCAGGAATGAAGGGAGATCTATCTGATGAGTTAGAAGCATTGGTATGGAAACCTGGTTGGCATAAAAAGAAAGCTAGAGTTAGACTGAAAAAAGGGGGTATTTTGGTCTATTAGAGAGGATCTTAAATTGCTAACTATTGGGCTAAAGGGAGATTCTGAGATAGTGGGAAATTTGATTATTAGATTAAAATAGTTGGAAAATACTAAAAAATAAGGGATTAATCTGTTTAGATACAAAGGACACTCCACTATTAAGGTGATGATGTATTAGGGCGCGAAATAGAAAATGTTTATGAAATAAAATTAGAATATATTTAAGTAAGTAATATGTGCATTTTAGATATTATAATTTTTATGTAGTGAGACAAAGGAAATTTGGGTTATCTGAAACTTAAATACTTTGGATATTAAAGGTTAAATTGGAGTACTGTAATTAAAAACTAAAACTTAGGTAAAACTTAAAAACAGGACATGGATATGTATAAGTATTGTTTATGAAGATTTATTAAGATATGTATAAGCAAAAATGTATTGATAAATGTGATAATGAAGTGTTTACTGAATTTGACATAATTAGAAATCTATTAGCTTAAATACGATATAGCAAATGTTAAGGGAAACAGAGAAGAAATATTTGATGATGTAACCAGAGATATGTACTAAAGATTTTGTTATTGAACTATTGATTCACCCAACCACCACGTTGCATTCCAAATACTTAAATGTAAAACTGGAAAATCAATAAAATATTATTAAAAAAAGAAAAGAAATGAAATAGAAATGGGTACTGACATAAGGCTAACAGCAAAAGCACATCCACCAACCAAAAAGAGGGATTTTCAAACAACAAACTCATGGAACAGGTGACTGATAGTATTGTGGTATGCAATACATGTTCCATGTATGTGCTTATGCCCAAAGAACACCCAAACTATACATGTATTAGATGTAAACTATGTGAACTACCACAGGAAAAAGTAAGGAACTTACTTACTTACATTGTTATTTGTGTTAACAATGGAGATTTTATTAATTAAAATTCGTGAATCATCTATAATAAAGGGAATAAATGTGAATAAGAATGATTATAGGTTAAGGGCCTTTGCTGATGATCTGGTGCTGACATTAACTCAGCCGATAGATTCGGTGATTGATTTGGTGGAAATTATTGCTCAGTATGGGAAGTTTCTGGTTTTAAGGTAAATAATAATAAGACTAAAATATTACCGAAAAATATGTCTATGAAGGATAAAGATGACCTAGTTAAATTGACAGGTTTTGATACATGGGAGACAATCTGGGTTAAAAATGTAAAATTTACTCAAGCCCAAAATTTAAGAGAAATTTTTTATAAGATGTTTTATAGGTGGCATTTGGATCCTCAAAAATTGGCATGCATGTATTCTAATTTACAGCCCAAATGTTGGAGATGTGGAAGTTTAGATGCAACTTATTTTTGTATTTGGTGGATGTGTAGGGAAATAAAAGCATTTTGGATCAAGGTTTGGTGGAATATTCAAAATATTTTTAAGAAAAAGATAAAGTTCATACCACAGTTATTTTTATTAGGTATTATGGGAGATTTGGATGCTAAAGAAATGAATCTGATGTTAAATCTTATAACAGCTGCAAGACTATTGGTAGCTCAAAACTGGAAGACGGATCGTTTGCCTACTGTAGAAGAATGGTCTCTTAAAATGTCAAATTTAGCAGAAATGGCTAAGATTTCTGCTTATTTAAAGGATCAAACACAGGAAAGATATATTTCGGTTTGGAGAAGATGGATAGATTATATTCAGAATAAATATGGGACTGAAAAGTTCCATTTGGTGTTTGAGTAAATTTTACAGTATTGTTATTGTGAATATTTTATTATATTTTTTATATTTTTTATTATATTTTATTATATTGATATTATTTAATAAAACTCATCATTAAAACAAATTATTAGTTCAACTAATAAACAAATAATAACACAAATTAAAATTTAATAGATTTAAATAAAATTTTCCCTCAATTTCACACAATATCTAAACCAATGTATTAATCAACCTATTACAATAAATCTAATACTAATTATATAAACTAACCCTGTGAACAGCTCTGGGAAGTGGGGGGATGGGGGTTGGGGGTGGGGAAGGGGGTTTATTTTGTAAATGTCATAAAACTTTTAATAAAAAACAAAACAAAACAGTAACTGTGAGAGGGACCTTGGAATCCTAGTGGACGATCACTTGACTATGAGCCAGCAGTGTGCAGCAGCAGCCAAAAAAGCTAATACAATCCTGGGTTGTATAAACAGAGGCATAGAATCAAGATCACACGAGGTATTAGTACCGCTTTATAAAACCCTAGTAAGACCACACCTGGAATACTGCAGCCAATTTTGGTCACCATATCACAAAAAAGATGTTGAGAGTCGGGAAAAATTTCAGAGAAGAGCAACTAAGATGATCAAAGGCCTGGAGACTAAAAGATATGAAGAACGGCTGTAGGACTTGGGTTTGGCTAGTCTAAAGAAAAGAAGAAATAGGTGTTATGTATTGAATATATATGAAGTTCTGTTAATCCCTGCTAAAGTGAAACTAACTTAACTCCAACTGCTTGTGAAGCTAAAATGAAACTAACCTTTAGATGACCCTGACTGTTAACTCCAACTGTTTTGGAGGGAATCTTTGAACATTCATATTTGGGTGGGTTTTTCTAGTATTGTGATTGGTTAAGGCCCTGTGGGCTTAGAGTATAAATTACAGGCAATTGCCTGCAGTTCTCCAGTTCTAGTTTGAGTCAATAAATAATGTCGTAACTATGCTGGTCTGCTCCTTGCCTATTGAAGCCCACTACACAATAGTGGCAACGAAGGTGGGATGCTGCAGAGGAGAGAGCTGCTGCTAACCAAGAGACTGAAATCACTGGGTGATAGGCTGGGTAAAGAGCCCCAGCAGGCCTAGTTCTCACCCCCTGCCTACCAGTAAGCCACAATGGAGGCACGCTGAAATCACTGGGTGTCAGACCAGGTAAAGAGCCCTGGTGGGACCATGCTCCCCGCCCTGCCTGCCAGTAAGGCACACTGGAGGCACAGATATACCTGAGGGATCTGTCCCCAGGATCCCAAAGTGCAGCACAGCTCCAACTGTAGCAGTACAGGCATTAACCAGCACCACAGGGGCCTCCCCAAAATGGCTAAATTGGGAAAGCTCAACGAGTTCGATATTACTCATCCGGAACAGTGGAGCTCATACGTCTCCCGAGTAGGCAACTATCTCCGGGCTAACCAGATCACAGACGATGGCCTGAAGGCGGCAACCTTACTATGTGTCTGCGGACAAGCCATGTTTGATATCGCTGAAAACCTGATAGCACCAGCAAGTATAGAGACTGTAGCCTACGCAGACCTCAAGAAAAAATTAAGGGAACATTTTGAGCCGAAACTCTCAGTAATCGCCTGGCGCCATGCATTCGAGCAACATGAGCAGAGATCCGGGGAATCTGCAGCAGAGTTTGTGGCAGCCCTTTGCCAAGATTCGCACCAATGTGAGTTCCCTGACCTGGAAGACCGTCTCAGAGACAGGCTTGTTTGCGGCCTGCATAATAGAAAATTACAGCAGCACCTATTCACCATGGAGAAACTGACTTTCCAAGACGCATTGAAAGATGTCATGGCGGAAGAGGCTGCCGGATGGGCAATGAAGTCTCTCCGGCCACCTAAAACACACACCAGCCCCACAGTGATCCACCAACAGACTGCAGAAGGCTTGGGGGAGGCCAGTGAGAGTGAAGAAATCGATCGTTTGTGGAGAGAGCCACCCAGACAGCCATGCTCCACAGAGCAAGCAACTTCCTCACAGAGCTGCGCAAGCTGCGGGGGACAGCATGAAAGAGCAGAGTGCAGATTCCGCACAGCAGTATGCCATGCCTGTGGAAAGCAAGGGCACCTTGCCAGAGTTTGCAGAGGTCGTCAGCGGGAAACGAAACCTGCGACACAGCAGCACAAGGGGAAATGGCCCCCAGGACAGACCAGAGTTGAATACTGCTCAGGAAGGCGTAGCATCCAACGCACAGGGGCCCAAGGTTCCATCAAAGAAAAGATAAGACTCCAAGACTGCAAGGGGTCCCATGCTCTATGGAGCTAGATACTGGATTGGCCCTGTCCATTATCTTCTCCAGGACTTTTGACTACATTTGCAAATGTAGCCGATGGCGGGTCCCGCTCAAATCATCGAGCTTAGTGCTAAGGGACTTCCAGAATTGCCGTGTTCCCGGAAGGGGGGAAGCTACCATTAGAGTTCTAGGGTCCCCTCAGCATAGTGGTCATAGAGGGACCGCACACCAACCTCATAGGACTGGACTGGTTTGAGGCCCTGGGCATCAGGGTGACGGGCATCCATCGAACACAAATAGCTGACCTAGCAGCAGTATGCCAACAATATGCTGACGTATTCAGCACAGAGTTGGGACAATACAAAGGGGCACCCATTTCACTCAACCTCGATCCAGCACTAACTCCAATCCGATTAAAACCGCACAGGGTTCCTTTTGCATTGAAGCCTAAAATTGATGCGGAACTAGACAAGCTGGTACAGCAGGGAGTGCTCCAACCGGTGGACTGTAGCCAGTGGGAGACTCCAATAGTGACCCCAGTTAAGCCTAACGGGGACGTCCGCATCTGCTCAGACTACAAGGCACTACAGCAGCATGCTTACCCTGTACCAGTAGTAAGCCACATCATCGCTTCGCTCCAGGGAGGCCGAATCTTCGCTAAGTTAGACCTCGCCCAGGCTTACCAGCAGCTACCAGTAGATGATGCTACTGCAGAAGCACAAACAATTGTCACACAGAGAGGTGCATTCCGAGTGCGCCACTTGCAGTTTGGGGTAAGCGTAGCACCAGGGTTGTTCCAAAGTATTATGGAACGAACACTGAAGAACATTCCCGGCATCTGCCTATATTTTGATGACGTCCTGATCGCGCGGGAATCAGCAGCAGTCCTGGCGGAACATCTCCGTGCAGTACTCCAACGTTTCCACAAGGCAGGCCTAAAACTCAAGAAGGAAAAGTGCCAGATCGGCGTGGAATCCACAGAGTTCTTGGGTTTCCGCATCGATGCTGCTGGAATCCACCCATCTGACGCAAAGCAAAAGGCAATTCAGCAAGCCCCCACACCAAAATCCAAGGGGGAGCCACTCCTTCTTACTGCATAAGGCTGCCCTGGCAGAACCGCTACACTGCCTACTGGACAAAAAAAATGTCCTGGGTCTGGTCGCGCACCCAAGACAAAGCGTTCAAGGTGGTAAAATCATTGTTACCCTCAGACTCCGTCCTAGCTCATTTCAACGAAAACCTACCAGTAACACTAGCCTGTGATGCTTCGCCATACGGCATTGGGGCAGTACTAAGCCACAGGATGCCAGATGGTAGAGAGGCCCCCATCACATACTATTCTAGAATGTTATCATCGGCTGAAAGAAACTATGCCCAGATAGACAAGGAAGCCCTTGCCATAGTGGCTGGCATTAAGAAGTTCCACGACTTCTTATATGGATGAACCTTCACCATCTTTACAGACCACAAACCTCTGCTTGGTCTCTTCACAGCAGACAAACAGACACCGCAGATCCTATCGCCGCGAATGCTACGCTGGTTCATTTTCATGGCTGCATACTCGTACCGGCTAGTCCACAAGCCGGGTAAGGAAATGGGCCACGCCGATGCTCTCAGCCGTCTGCCTCTATTGCAGACTGATCCGGACCCAGCCCCAGCTTGTCGTATCCTGGCGATCCAGGACCTGCCTGAAGCACCCCTAAATGCAGGGGACATTGCAGCTGAAACCACCACGGACAGAACGCTTAGCCGCGTTCTCAACTGGGTGTTAAGGGGATGACCAGAGACCTGGCCAGGCCCTGAGTTCCATCACTACGCTTCACGGAAAAATGAACTGTCGGCCCACAAGGGATGTGTGCTGTGGGGCAGCAGGGGCATCATTCCACCCAGTCTTCGCTCCAGGGTGCTGGATTCCTTACACGAGGGGCACCCAGGAATTGTTCGAATGAAGGCTCTAGCCAGGAGCTACTTGTGGTGGCCAGGCCTGGACAAGGACATTGAGAATCAAGTAAGGAGTTGCCAGGCCTGCCAAGAAACCTGACCGGAGATGCCACAAGCACCAGTGCACCGCTGGGAGACCACGCACGCCCCATGGTCTACCGTGCACATTGACTTTGCAGGCCCCTTCCAAGGGCAAGTGTCCCTAATTGTAGTAGACAGTTATTCCAAGTGGTTGGAAGTGGCACCGGTCTCATCGATGACAACAACCAGGGTCATCCAAGAGTTGCGCCGGCTGTTCGCCACACATGGTCTGCCAGATGTAATCGTGTCCGACAACGGGGCACAATTCATGGCAGGAGAGTTTCAATCTTTCCTCAACGCCAACATGATTCGGCACGTAACATCCGCTCCATTCCACCCCGCGACCAATGGTCAGGCCGAACGAATGGTGAGGACCACAAAGGAGGCGCTCAAGCGGATGACGACTGGGGACTGGAATCACCACCTGGCGAACTTCCTCCTGTGTCAACACATAACTCCCAGTACAGCAACAGGTCGCAGCCCAGCGGAGCTGAGGTGGGGCCGCCGGCTCACCATGAAGCTCGACCGACTTCATCCAGACAGAGTAGCGGCAGACGGCTCAACCAAAGCCCCCCAGGAACTTACAGCTGGGTGAATTGGTCTGGGCCAGGAACTATGGAAGTGGGGAACCTTGGGTGGGAGCTAGGGTAAATAAGATAACGGGGCCCTTGTCATACAAGGTTATTCTGGAAAATGATCGTATGGTCATACGCCACATTGATCAGTTACGGCATCAGCAGGCTGGGCCAGTCCCGAGTGAGGATCCTGAGGTTTTATCAGACACACAAGAGAACTGTTTTCCTCTGAGTTTGCCTACATCACTCATGGCCGCCTCTGGGGAAATGGAGGTACAAAGGGCCGTAGAGCCACAGCCACTCACGGGCGACCTAAACGGCCATCATGACTCTGTTCAACTGGAGATGGACAATACTCCACTTGAACAGGACTCTCCAAAAACATTGTGGCGGTCCACCAGGATCTGCGGGTCCCCGGCCTTTCTCAAAGACTATGAATATTGAACAGACTGAGGATGATAACTATCCTAGGGGAAAGGGGTGTTATGTATTGAATATATATAAAGTTGTGTTAATCCCTGCTAAAGTGAAACTAACTTAACTCCAACTGCTTGTGAAGCTAAAATGAAACTAACTTTTAGATGACCCTCACTGTTAACTCCAACTGTTTTGGAGGGAAACTTTGAACATTGTTAGAGAATTTTAATTTCTCTGTTGGTAAAAATAAATCAGAAACTCTCACAGTTGACTGCATTTAGCTGATTCAAATAAACTCTTTATATTCATATAAAAATATTTACAATACCATATATTCTTCTTCATAGCAACATAGCATAAATGAAGACTTCTTACAACAGAGACAGACCAGAGACCTGAAACTGAAACCCAGCTTCTAACTCAATAACCTTTTGCACAGACTCAGTAGCACTTTCTTCACATTGGCTGACTGAGTTACCACATGACTCTTCCTGCTCATGAATATTCCAACACTCCTCCCTTCATGACAGGAAGAGACATCAGACCTATTGACTTAATACATTTTCCATAGTGAAT